CATCCATCTGTGTAGTGGTCTGGTATATGTAAAAACCATCCGTCCTGAAACCATATCAAGTCAATCAACTATTTTGTTGACATGACACAAGTAGGTAATGGACTTAACCTTTATGGTTAATCCGTACCTTAATCCGAATTAGATAGGACTTAACGTTTGAATTAGTCCATACCTAGCATGTCACCGTCCCATACCGGTACATACCATCCTCCAGTTAACAAAGTTGACAACACAATATTAGATGGTCATCAACCAAACTCCAGAAAACATACATAAGTCTAATCTGTGTAGGTTTAAAACATACATCCAATATACGATTTAGAACCTCTATTCCAGTTCTTCAAATTTATAAAGTAGAACTACGCACACTATCCCTCCAATCAATTCCATATCTTGATGCAATATACAGTAAAATTAAACATCGATTAATTTCCATTTAAACATACTTGTTTTTCCCAGAACAAATAATATATGCTTATAACACAATTGAAACATGAATGACAGTTTAAAATCATGCTAAGAAACCAAGTTGCTTTATGAAAACAGTAAGCAAGCTCAAGGTATAATTCAACCTTCCACACACCGACTTATTATTTAACCAAGTATTGTTTCCTATTTCAACTTATTAATATCAACATGCTTCCAAAGAGTTTTTTTTTTACAAGTCTGAAACAGACACAAATCTCATTCACAACTACTAGAACCATTTAGAAACAACTCCCACAGTCCAATCCAAACCTAGAACACGAAAAACTGAAGAGAAGAGGGTTGGAGCCGCCTCCAGAACATTAGAGCCGGCTCCCCCCTAGGTGGAGCCACCTCCACCTTATGTGGGGCCAGCTCTACCCCTTGTAGAGCTGGCTCTACAAGTCCTAGAGCCGGCTTTACCTTTTAGTGAGCCGGCTTTCCTCTTTTGAGAGCCGTATCCTCTAACCTGTTTGTCTTCTTCGCCTCCGGCAAAGTCCAGAGTCTCTGTACAGTTTTTAAAACTATTTTCAGGGTTCAATTGATGTCCTAGATTTAGTTAAAAGCATGCATTCAAACCTAAATACACAAAGGTTAAGCAAGATTACAACCAGCGCAAACAGATTCTTAAACAAAAATAACTTCCTACATAAAAACAGATTTATGCAACGATTTAAAAATTGATTCAAACATGCTTACAAGATCAATATTAACTTTAATTTAATATGTTTTAATGCTTGATTAATCCCTGGGGTCTAAATAGGCATGCAGGGAACACGAATTAAAGGGAAGGAATAGAATAGTGACTTGCCTTGAGTTTCAGTTTTGAAACTCTAAACCACTGTCTCTGAAGCTTCTATCCACGTTTGAGACTCCTGTTCTAAATCTCAAGTGCTCTTGGTTCAATCCAGAAGCACTCCGTCCAGTGTATCCTTGAACCTCTCCGTTAACCTTACCAGTTTTCACTCTCTGTATCTCTCTGTCTCACGGTATACGTATTAGTGAATAGGGTTTTTTCGTGTAACCCTAAACCAACGTATAATACTGTATTTATAGGCTTTAGCACAACCCTAATTCTAATACAAAACCAACCCTAAGTCGGCTACATCAGTGTAAATAAAGCCTTAATATAAATATATATGTGCCTCCATACAATCACGTTAACACAATTTAAATATAATTAACTTAATTCAATTAAAACAACTAAATTACATCAGTTAAACAATTATCTAATAATTAATTTAAAACAATTAATGCAAATATAAACAAACCGCCAGTTAAATAAATAAAACAAATAACAACAATTAAATAAAATACTTAATTCGAGGAAAAATAAACAAATAAACAATTAAACAAAAATAAATGCAATGTAAACAATATAATAAATACCAGGACTATCCTTTTGAAAGTAGGGGTATTACAGATATTTTGCCCAAATCATATGCAATGACTTTCTGCAAAGAAGTATGTCTAACATCTAATCAACATATTGCAATTGCAAAGACTTTGGTGTAATTGGTAAGAGGATAATAGCAAGTGAGCAATATAATTGTGAGATTGATATATTGATGACAATAATGTCTCTAGCACCCGTCACTATCCAATGGGACATATTTTATTAAAAAAAATTTACTTTTGCTTAGAAAGATTGATAAGAAAAATAAAAGGGTAAATTACACCGACACCACCTAAGGTTAGGTCATATTTCACCTATATGAAAATTTTGGTTTTAACTTTCACTTACATTCCAAATTGCTTTTTGAACTCTGACACATGTAAATTGAGCTATTTACCCTCACTTTTTTAATACAATTTAATACAGAATTTCTACAAACTAAAATGGCAGAAATACCCCTATGTCATACTAATATTCCAAATCTCTCATTCTCTCTCTCCTCTCTATCTATTCCATCTGTCTACAAAACAAAATAGGTAGCCATCGCAGCACATCACCATCGCCTCCCTTTCCACTGTGGTTTAAGTCACCATCGCCATCACAGGTTGGTCGGATGTTCTCAACTCACCACCGGCGAAACCAGGAAGCTTGTTCATTATGAAAATCATTGAGAGCAAATCACGCACTCCCTCTCCCTGTCAAAGTTCCAAAACACCTTCCAAACAATCACCACACCACACAACAATCTGATGATCATCGACGCAATTTCCGGCGGTGGCGGTGACAGTGACAACAATATGTAACAACGATGATGGTCTGCGGCAGCAGCGATGATTTGCATCAACAATGACGATCTGCGACACGGTGGCTACGACGATGATCGTTCCATGATCGGCAGCAACAGCGTATGGTTTTTGATGCTCTGTTCTACATCTACGACTAGCTGCGTTCGTGACGGTAGTATTGGCGTCGGGATCAACGATCGTGATTCTTTGGAGATTCAAAATTGACGAGATGTTTCTGGCTATCGAGAAGTATTGGAGATAAGGATGGTGGTGCTAGGTCGCTAGTGGTGGCGCTGCAATCTCCAAAATCCATGGTCGGCGACAGTGGCTGTGGCGACAATTCATTTTTTGCCGTCTGGTAATCTTCATCCCTTTCGTTGTCGTCACCGTTTTCCTCTGTTCCCTGATCAGTTTATTGATCGGTGTCTGAGCTCCGCTTCGGATGATTGCTTCAAGTAAAGGGATGATGACGGAAGGAGATGGGCTCCTAGTTGACGACGGTTACGGCATTGGTTGTTGGCGGTGACGAGCTGTAAGCATGGTTTGGGAAGGTACAGTGAGATGGATTGGCTTTTAGTTGGGTTTTGTGGCCTTGGGTTTTGTTTTGGGTGGGAGCTATGGTAATAGAGGTGTTGGGTGGGCAGTGATGATGGAGGTTTTGGGTGGGCAGCGGCGGCGATAGAGGTGTAGGGTGGGGCAATGGCGGCGATGGAGGTGTATGATTGGGCAGTGGCGATGTGTAATGGCGATGGAGCTGTATGTTGGGGGTAAGTTTGTCAAAAAAAATATTCAAACAACCTTTTTCAAGTTAACAATGGGTCAAATGGGTAGTATAGTCATTTAACAACTCAAAAGTAGTCTGACCCTACAAAAAATTGATATTTTTTAATATTTGGGGTGTAAGTGAAATACTGAACCATTCTTTTTAAATATGAGTGAAAAATAAAATCAAAATGTTTATATAGGTGAAATATGACCCAACCTCAAGGGGTGTCTGTGTAATTTATCCAAAAGAAAGGAAAAAAAAAACCATCGAAAGGTGTGAAGTGGTCATAAATATATGTATTATATGTATTCAAATGTACTCAATTGCTCCAAATACCATTTAAGCCCAATAATAATAATACTAGGGGCATCAATGATAGCATCTGCACAACTTGCCAGTGATACGTTAATAATGGAAGTATTAATACAAAGAAAATGAAATAATTAATAATGAAACAGAGATCTTAAGGTGTATTATATGTGGTGTATTGATCTTAAGGTGTATTATAGAGGAGAAGCAAAAGCTGTTCCACTGACATACGTAAAAACACCAACGGGCACCTTAAAAGTCTACAAGGGTAGTTTAGTTAAATTCATTACATAACTAGACCGCCCTAAAATGAACATTTAGGTACTTTATTATCCAGTCTTCAATCCATAATAGAAATTATATTTTCTATGTTTTGATTTTTATGTTCTCTCTACCTTCTCTTATATTTTGATCTCTTTTCTTCTATTGAGCAATATTAATGAGATATTAGTAATAATTTCACTTTTTATACATCTATTGCACTTTGTTTGAAAAAAATTATTAAGTGGTTCGGGAGCATTACCAATTACAAGACTCTCATGTATATCAACCTTGCACCATGGGGTATGACTCCAAATTTGTCACAAAACAGAACAGAAGGGTAAACTGCCATTTGTCAACTAGTCAATGAAGTGGTAGAGGTTGTCATACCCTTGAATCATTATCTCTCCTTACTTATTTTTTTTCACTAATTGCAATTTCAAAGGAACAAATCATAGTTAGGATGTGAATTAAGTAGCCGCCGAATGTATAAAAACTTAATATACACCATGAAATAAAACAAATATTCCAAACTTTTCAAAAAAATAAATAAACAAATAAATAAATATTCCATGTAAAGATGGAGACTTGAAATGAAATTGTAAAAGTTGTTTGCCTAGATCACAGGCAAAACACTAATGAAGACAAATTGTAAAAGTTGTTTGCCTCTAGATCACAGGCAAAACACTAATGAAGACAAATTGTAAAAGTTGTTTGCCTGGATCACACGCAAAACACCAATGAACACAATTGTAAAAGTTGTTTGCCTGGATCACAAGCAAAACACTAATGAAGACAGTGAGTGTGTGGAAACTTTACTTGATGCTTCGCGCCGGATAATGAAGTGTTTGGTTTTTGCTGGGACCACAACCAAAAAGACTGTATGACAGAGAGTCGAGTGAAGACAGTGAGTGTGTGGAAACTTTCCTCGATGCTTCGCGCCGGATAGAGACCATTGAAAGAATAATTTGGGCCAATTGGAGTTCCCACCTTCTATAAATACATTGCACATCTTCCTTCAAATCCATTCTCATGCATCATCATTAATACATATTAAACTTTTTGATATATTATTATAAGTTCAATATATATATAGCTAGTATTAGTTACTGGGTATTGTTATGCTTGCATGATTATGGCCAAATCCATGAGAGATGTCTGCATTATTAATATTGCGATTGTGTTTGTGCTAACTTTTGATACAATTGTGGTTTTGTGCAGTGGAAACAACTACTCTGATCATGTGGCTTGCGTGGAGAGTGAAAGACAAGCCCTTCTCAGATTCAAGCAAAATCTAAGCGATCCCTCAAATCGCCTCTTCTCATGGGATGCTGATCAATCAGGAGGGGATTGTTGTGAATGGGTTGGAGTTGTCTGTAACAATCTAACAGGCCATGTTGAGGAGCTCCACCTTCAAAATCCTTTTTTTGACGCCATGTTGATGGGAGGTAATGATGAATTTGAAGCTTTTCAGAGGTCCAGGCTGGGAGGTAAGCTAAACCCATCCTTACTGGATTTGAAGCATCTGACTCACTTGGATCTTAGCGGCAACAATTTTGATGGAATTCAGATTCCAAGCTTCATTGGTTCCTTTGGGAGCTTAAGATATCTTAATCTCTCAGATGCTGGATTTGGAGGTGTCATCCCGAGTCAACTAGGAAACCTCTCTGGGTTGCACTCACTTGATCTTCGGGGAGCTTTTGAAGGACTGATTCCTCATCAATTGGGGAGTCTCTCTGGGTTGCACTCCCTTGATCTTCGGGGATTTTTTGAAGGAGCGATTCCTCATCAACTGGGGAACCTCTCTGGGTTGCACTCCCTTAATCTTCTGGGATTTTTTGAAGGAGTGATTCCTCATCAACTGGGGAACCTCTCCAATTTGCACTATCTCAGACTTGGAGGGCGCCCTTTATTATATGGTGGCAATCTATATGCTCACACTCTTCAATGGATTTCTGGTAGTTACTTGTTGCAGCACCTTTATCTGGACAACGTGAACCTCAGCAAAGCACATGATTGGTTGCAGCAAATCAACATGCTCCCTTCTTTGGTAGAGTTACACTTATTCTATTGTGGGATTGATCACTTTCCTCCTTTACATATTGTTAATTTTACTTCTCTTGCCGTCCTTGATCTTTCTGCTAACCCTTTTGAATCCTTCATCCCACCTGATTGGCTGCTTAGTCTTCGTAGCCTTGATCATCTCAATTTGGGATCATGTGGTTTACATGGATCAATTCCAAGTGGTCTGAGAAACATCACCTCTCTTAGATATCTTGATCTGTCCGAAAATCTTTTCAATTCTACAATACTCGATTGGCTATCTAATTTCAGTCATCTTGAATATCTTGATCTGTCATGGAATTTGTTCACCGGGGGATTGCCAAGATCCTTTGAAAATCTTTGCAACTTGAAAGTACTCAAACTGGCAAGTGTCGAACTTGGTGGTGATATATTGGAGATTTCAAACATTTTGTCTAGTTGCATTTTAGATGAAATAGAAGCTCTAGATTTAAGCTACAATAAACTTGGGGGCCATTTTCCTGAACTTGGAAAATCTAAAAAATTGGTCTCTCTTGATCTTTCTTATAATTGTCTTTCTGGTCAACTTCCAGTGTCTTTGGGAAGGTTATCATCACTGAAGTATTTATCTCTTTCTAATAATAACTTGAGTGGACCTCTCCCTGAAAGTTTTGGCCAACTTGCACATCTAGAGAATTTATATCTTGATAACAATCACTTGAGTGGACCTCTTTCTGAAAGTCTTGGCCAACTTGCACATCTAGAGATAATTTATGTGTCACAAAATTCATTACAAGGTGTCATCTCCGAAGTCCACTTCGCCAACCTCACACGATTGAAGTATCTCGATGGATCTGGGAATCAATTGTTCTTTAGTGTCAATCCAAATTGGGTTCCTCCATTCCAACTTTGGGAATTGTCATTCAGGTCATGTCGGTTAGGTCCACAATTTCCCCATTGGCTTCACTCACAGAAAAATTTAGTGATTCTAGACATATCACATACAGGAATTTCAGGTACCATTCCTAGGTGGTTTTGGAACTTATCATCTCAGATTTTATATTTAAATTTCTCTCACAATCATATCCATGGTGAGATTGTAGATGGGCTTTTAGCCGTATCTATGCCGTTCTCAACAATTGACCTTAGTTCCAACCACTTAAATGGTAGACTGCCTCGTTTGTCATCAAATATATCGACACTGGATCTTTCGAACAATTCATTTTCTGGATCTATTTCTCACTTTCTATGCTACAAGATGGATGAATCTAAGAACCTGCAGCTTCTTAATCTTGAAAGAAATCTTTTGTCAGGAGAATTGCCCAACTGTTGGTCGAGCTGGAATAGCTTGGAATTCATAAATTTAGCAAATAACAATATAAGCGGCAAAATCCCAAGCTCCATGGGATCTCTACATTTTCTCGAATCGTTGCATTTACGAAACAATAGCCTAACAAGGGAATTACCCCTGTCATTGCATAATTGCACAAGCTTAGTGGCTATTGATTTTGGTGAAAATGAATTTTCAGGAAGTATACCCACATGGATAGGAGAAAGGCATTCATATCTTAAGATTCTTATCCTAAGATCAAATAAGTTTCAAAGCCATATTCCTAAGAAACTTTGTGCACTTAGTTCACTTCAAATCTTGGACCTTGCACATAATAATTTTTCGGGAAGTATTCCAACATGATTCATGAACTTGAGAGCTATGGCCATACAACAAAACTCGAGTGAACAAATGTCATACAGGTCTAATGAATCCACTTTTGGAAGTTTTTCAGAGAATGCATTATTGGTAATAAAAGGACAATTGGTGGGGTATAGCACTATTCTTCAATTAGTTACAAGCATGGATATTTCAGATAACAATTTATCAGGAGAAATCCCCGAGGAATTGACGAGTCTCCGAGGGCTTCACTCATTAAATTTGTCATATAATCTTTTGACAGGAAGAATTCCAAAGGATATTGGTGCTATGGAACAACTAGAAGTCATTGATTTCTCCATGAACCATCTTTTTGGTAAAATCCCTCCAAGCATGTCAAGTTTGACATTCCTAAGTCACTTGAACTTGTCCTACAACAATTTGAGCGGAAAGATACCATCAAGCACTCAACTTCAAAGTTTCAGTGCATCCAGTTTTGTTGGAAACAATCTGTGTGGGCCTCCAGTTAATAACAACTGCAATGTTAATGATACACCATCTACAATTCAAAATGGAGCACGCAAAAGTGGCGATGGATTTGACGTGGATTGGTTTTATGTGAGCATGGCACTAGGATTTGTGGTGGGATTTTGGGGTGTAGTCGGTCCATTTTTATTTAAGAAGTCATGGAGATTTGTGTGTTTTCGGTTCATGGACAGCATTTGGTATAGGTTTCATGATGTTATATTTTCACGCGGATGATACTGTAAACATAAATAAAGAAGTGTAGATCTTTTGAAAGTCAATAAATAGTTAAATAAAATTAAGATGGTTTTCCTATGTGCAAATATCATTTCTTTTTACATATTTTAGTAACTGTTCCAATTCAATTAGTTAAATAAAGGGAGGTCATGACTCTTCTCTTAGAAGCATTACCCTTGAGAATTAAAGTAGAGACATAAAAAAGAAACAAACAAGCGACACAATAGAATGCCAAGAATATGGGAACAATTTTCAGAATGCATTTAAATTTAATATTGGATTACAAAACATAAAGAAGTACCTACAGACGTTCCCCTCAATTATTCTAATTAGTGGGGATTACAAGTTGGAAGAAATCATGGAATCTGCAACTCGCACACCTCATCATGAATAATGGATGGATATTGTCCAAAGAAGATCAGAATCAGTTATTTTCTTTCCTTTCACAATATTCGATGTACTTATTAAACCACCAAATCTCAATTCCGTGCCAGCTGTTAGACAGAGGATTCCAATTAAAATTGTATCAGACACATCCAATGGCAGAACACCCCAAAAAGAGAGGGGGGTAATGCTGGTTTGAAATACCATTCGACTTTCAACAAACAAAGGAAGTAAAAGAAAGGTATAATGTCATCGTGATATACTTACCAAGATTCCATTCGAGCCCGGAGGTGGTAGTGCTTCTAAACGGCATCCCAATCGGGAAAAGTCCACAATGATTGAGTCTTTGGAAGAAGTTGGATGAGGCAATCATTGGATAAAAGAAATATTTTCATGGCCGAGAAACGATAAAGAACATTTATGTTTCCAGCCTCCTGGTCAAACCGTCCACCAAGTGCTCCAACAACTAGAATGCATGACTTCAATTAAAACAAGACTATGAATCACCTAAAAGTGCCAATATGAGCACTCACACCAGTGACAAATTCAGACAAAAAGAAGTTTCTAGAAAGAAAAAAAAAAAAAGTTTTTCGCTTTCCAGCTTCTAATCAAACTTATTGACAGAATCGATAAAATGAACGAATTGGCCGGTTGCAATATTCATATTACCACCTTAACAGATCAGAATAAAGTTCAAGCTAACATGAAACAAAGCAATTCTTGCAAAAAGAGAAACTGAAAGATCATATGAAACTTACATTAGACTTGTGAAAGATCATATGAAACTTACATTAGACTTGTCCAGGTTTGGTGTGCAGTCACGAATATATGCTATGCATTTGTGGAGGTCTGTGGTGTCCTAATCATTAGATGCATCTTCTATCTCGGTCTTCTGTGGTCAATAAAGCACAGGCATTCTGATATTTAAGTTCTAAAGCATAGTATATAATACATACTGGACAACAACGGCCAAAAATAATTAAAATACATGGAAAACGAAAATTATGCACACAAAGCAAAGATATGACATTATGGCCTAATTGCAAAAACACATCATTGTTATATAAGCTTAAATATTTTTAACTTACACTTGAATCTCATTGTAAGTTACATGGCTATATGAAATGATATATTTTGATATATACTCTTTTCGGTTGTTATCAATAAAAATTGAACCCTTACCCTTAACCCCAATCCTCTCTTTAGCTGACATGACAAGCACTTTCACCACTATTCTTCTTCAGCTTTTGCAGTATATTGAAGCACTTTTATTTGTTCATTCTTACACTTATTTCTTTCCTATAAATCAATTTTGTCTTGGAACTTTAAAGTTCTCTTTCGCATACAAATATACATCAGTGCATATTACGTATGTGCATAATTAGTAGAGTGAAATTTCTTGGCAAGCTATATTGCTGTAATAATGAGACTAATTGACATACTCCATAATCATCCTCAACAGAGAATGTCAAATGGTTATGTAATAACTCACCTTGTTTTTATAGAAATCTTTTACTTCTTGTCTAATTGAATCCATGTCTCCCTTTATTACATCTGGCTTGTACCTGCAATAAATCCACGACTAAATATTGCAAATGGTCAATTTAGAACAAGGGTCCAGAAAATATACTGCAAAAAACATAGAGAAGACTCAAAATGACATAGATTCAGTCTAATTTGGAGAATCCATGATGTAGAAATGACATAGATTCAGTATATTGATGCACAAGTAGCACTTACAAAGCAACAGATAATGGAACTACAATGAAAAAAGCCCCCCAAAGCAAATTTGTGAAGTAAAGTTGAAAGCTATGAGAAAATCAACCCAAGTACCCCCATGGAGCACCATTTAGAGACCATGCGCATTAAAAAAAAAACTCAGAGTTACGTTCCTTCCAAATTGATCATGCTACTGCAAATGGAGCTTCCACTGGCTGTCCCTCCAAACTCCAAAACCACACATTCCACAAAAAGCATAAATACATTTGTAAAGGGTATTGCATCATGATATATGTCAATAGTACTCATTGAAGCATGCTGGATTTGCGGTTTTGAGAACAAGAAAGATGGAGCAGCATGCAAGTGATTTCTTTTACTGCTATACGTTTCCCCTCTCTCTCTAAATCATTCTTGTGTGCACATTCATTTAATTTGTGCAGAACACTTCAACTTTGCAATCATTAATTCTAACCGATGAGTCATTGATTGAAGAAAAATGATTTTTAGTGTTGAGTGGATCAAATACATTCTACGAGAAATTATAACATGGTGCCGGACTAATCATAGGACAACATATATAAAATCAAATGTGACACAAGATGACATACAGACACTTATTGTGTAAAAGTTCATATTGGACACTATTTATTGGAGTCACAAAAAGTCGATTTGAACATTGTATCATTATTAGGTCCTGGCTAATGTCCTAATCAGGTTCATCTTCAGAGTTGCTTTGTGTGCATCTTGTTGTAATGAAGCCAGTGGTAGGTTCTGTACACAATCTTACCCTTTAACTGAAAAAATAAAAAAAATATATTTTGTAATTAAAATTTTTAATAGTAAATGTCACCATTTTTATTGATGCGTATATATAGGTAATTTTTTTATTATTATTATAATAGTAAAATTCATTATTGAAAATTGGGAGAAAAAGTGTAGCAAAATCAAAATGGAATGGGTCCGCAATTATATATATTGCTGTTTTTCTTTAGGGAAAGTGTAGCAGAATGGATTCCTTTAGGAAAAGTGTAGCAGAATGGATTCGGTCCCCTATTGAATCTCTTTGCAATTTCTGAGTAAGTAGAAGGAACTTTTACACCCAAAAGGAAGAAGGGAAAAAGGAGGAGCAAAAGAGAGAAAATTTCCAGTTTTCAAAAGCAATTAAGGAGGATGGACTTTTTTAATTTCAAAATGAGGCAGGTCCTCCTCAATCAAGGTCCCGAAACCTCTAATTTCATAAAAGAAAAAGAAAAAGAAAAAAACTAGAATTAACTATTAATGTTGCACATAAATAATTTATTAGTTGCTAAGGATAAATAGGAAGAGAAAATAATAAGTCCAATCCCCCATATCTTTTCATTGATATAATCAAAATGACTAAAACCTGCATCCAGCAAAGCCTAATGCAACCAATTTGGTTAAATGAATTTGAGTTATTTCTTTTAACGGAAACCAAAACAATAAAAATATTAAAAACACAATTTCTCTTCTTGTCTTTTCCACAGCTTTCTCAGCCACCAAACCCATCGTAAAAGGGTAAACATAACCAAACAAAAAAGGTGAAAGAAATATAACAAAAGGACAAACAAACAAAGAATATGGTAAAAGTCGAACAGATACAATTTTTTTTTTTTGAAAAAGAAACAGCAAAAATAATCAAATTTTGGCCAGTCGGGGAACAACGGAGTGTGAATTGAATCTTCATTTGGAGAGGGTACTATTCCACCCGTCCCTAGTCCCACTCCACTAATCTTCTTCTGCCCTGCACTTTCAATAGTGAATGCCACATGGCAACAAACATACAATATATCATCACATTATATTATTAATACTAACCATTAAATTGAGAATAATTTTTTTTGCTGCATTTCAATTTAATAATGTTCATTGTATCTTCAATTTATTTGCACTAATAAACAAAATTCAGGTTCAGGACGAAGAAATTATGCAGTAATGATATTATAATCCTCCATCAACCAACAATCTTTATTTTCTTTTATAATATAAGCAGGGATGACTCCATATAGTTTGAGGCTTTAAACGAACAAGATAATATAAAAGTGACTTTTAATATATAATATATTAATTTTAAATAATAATTAATTATGTTTGTTTAATAATCACTTTTCTTCCTTTTTGAGATGTAAAGTTAGGAATTGATTTTTTTTTTTTTTCTTACATAGACATTATTGTATGCAAGTTTTCTATTTTTTTTTTAATACTCCGTGTATATATATAACCAGTCCAATAGATATATACTCAATAATTAATATAGTAGGTGTAAAGAATGTCAAGACAGAGGAGGAAAAAAAATACTGTAATGAAGCTGCGAGTAGGGGAAAAAAAAAAAGTATAAAAATTAGGAGTTAATTCTTTGGACCTATTATTAAATATGTGCTATTGGTTTAGGTTTAATAAGAAAATAAAATTTTTGGGGTCTCTGCCATTAGTTGAGGTTTAATAAAGAAATAAAAGTAAGGAAATAAAAACTTTGGGATATAATAATTTTCAGTAAAAATAAAATTTTAGAAAGGTAATAATACAAAAAAGTAAATAAAATTTTGGGCCTCTCTGCCTATTGGTTGAGAATAAAATAAATTTTTTAAAGAAATAAAAAATATATAAGGAAATAAATTTTTTTGGGGCCATCTAGGGCTTATGTGACCGCCTAAGTAGCATAAATCTCCAGCCGCCCTTGAATATAAGTTATTTATTTACTATTGATTAGAGTATTAAGGAGTACCCAACATAAATTTCTGGTAGAATAAGTGAAAGACATGAACATTTACTTATATTATAAAAATAAATTTACGGTAGAATAAGTGAAAGACATGTCCGAGGAATGAACATACCAACCTTTTTTTTTCCTGATTCCACTCATTTCAGTAAGCTTTCTCCTTCCAACAAGAAGACCTATATTTAATTGCAAGATTAAAGATGAGAAAATTTAAATGTATTTTATAATAAACTTGCATACATTTTTAAATCCAAAATTCCAATTAATAATATAGAGAGGAATTAAAAGTTACCTGAGGATAAACCAATTAATGAGCTTAAAATACAACAAAGATGAGGCCTAACTAACTCTTACTATGAGAGGGATAGAGAACGGATTAATAATGATGAATAAATGGACGGAAGATGAGCCCAACTAACCCCTCATATGGAAGCTAGAGAGAGATGAAAGTGGCGAGTGAAGGATGTATTATTAGTGTTTGGCAGATGAGAAAGAGAGGATGAGAGAAATTAGAAGAAGAGTTTGTTTGGACAATGGGTTTAAAGAGAGAAAAATTCGGGTAAAGGGCTTTAGAGATGATGAGGGGTGGGTGGGCTTACAGAGGTTTATAGATTTGGAGTAAAAAAACAGGTAGAAACTTAAAACAAAAGAAAATGCACTTTTTAAATCATCACCACCACAATCAATCTCTTACCATCAATAAATTTATATATATATATATATATATATCAATCCTTGTTTCTGTTTCAAAGGCTCTGTATTCAGATGCCTCTTTTTGTTAGCCCCTTTTTTGTTTTTTTTAGCTCTGATTGAAAAAAAAAAAAAAAAAAAAAAAAAAAACAAAAAAAAAAACGCAAATATATTATATATGAAATATTACATATACAATTTTTTGCAATCTGTAACCTGTAATTAGACTTCTAACATTCTCATATCCTTTTCCAAAATCCATACCCATTGGCCTAGATGGCGACCTTCACTTCCAAAAAAAAATAAAAAATTCACCCTCAATCCTTCGCCGAACAGAAAAAGAAAAAAACAAACAAAAAAGAAAAAGAAAACAGAGAGTAGAAGATGAACAGAGGATATAAAAAAAAAAAAAAATCAAACATGTGGAATTATTCGAAATTGCGAACCAACCAAGAAACAAACCAAAGCCCTAATTAGTAGTTATGCCTTCTTCAACTTCTTTTTTGTTTTTGCTTCTGTGCCACACTTTACATCCTCTCTGCTCGGTTAATAAATCTGTATGAACAGTGATTTCTGATCGATTGAGTGCTCAATCTAAGTTTCAATGGCAGAGAGGCATACCCACACGACGACTTAGATTTGATGATCGTCTGAACACCTAGCCGGAGTTTGGTCGTCCATGGCAAAAGGTAACTCCCAACTACCATTTGGGCCCAAAGTCGCTAAATTACTCACGGGTACCTTCCATGTCCCAATTAGTTAACACTGCCTACAAAGGGTTACCTCCCCAACTACCGGGTTTGAGAAAACATTTTCTCAAAACTTATCAAATCCACTTTTTTATCCGTTCACATTCCCACACACGCATGTATCTCTACACACCCACATGATATGCTCATAAAATGCCTTCAATGCTATGTATACAAAATACACCATGCTTAGACCATTCAACTTCTCACCATAATTTCTTAATTTACATAGCAATACAAATTCACAACAATCTTCAAATTTAAAGATATCATTACACAAGTATAAAAGTGAGCACATAGCATGCTAACCATACATCACATTAGGATTAAAGCAATTTGACATCATGGAGACATAAATTTCTACATAAGCATGTTGATAACTTGATATTCATAAATTTCATACAAAGAGAGTACATAGCATCATATAATTCATCTATCTAACAAAATCAATCAAATCTTAAAACCCTAGAAATTCAACCATCCAATTAACATCACATTAGCATGCTTTTAGAGGGGAAAAACGTGAAATTAATTACAAAACTTAAGGAATACATCAATTAGACAACTCTACCTCATTCAAGAGCAAAAACCCCCAAATTTTGAAAAATCTCTAGGTCACCCAATTGCAACTTTGCTCCGATCAATTCGAAGTTCTCGTCGAGCTCTACAACTTTGCCTTCAATGGCAAAGATCAATTCCTAAAGGAGATGGATAAAATGGAAGCTTGAAAGTTTAGATTTAGAGAGAGAAAGAAGATGGTCTTAGCTAAAGGAGGAGCAAAGAAACAACCAAAATCTGGTCATTTGGCCCTTTTGCAATCCCTTCGTCAAAGTGGGGTCCACTTTGACCCTTGAAATGTCTATTTTGCCCCTTTTTCATATACACATACTATATATGCTACAAATGAGTAAATAAACACACAATCACATAGATACCCTTCAAATAATAAAATATGAAATGTAGTGAACCCAAAAAATAGTCCCGAGTACGGAAATCCGTGCGTGGACCTCCATGACCAATAATCCGAAAAATGGCGAAATAGCTCAAAATGCAATTCCAAGAGTTCTAAACTTAAATAAATGTCCTAATCAACTCTCGGAACTCTCATGGCACGCTAACCAGTGCGTGGCAAGCAAAACGAGATGCAAAAATAAAATAATT